TCTTTCCCTTTGGTTTCTCCCATCCCTTCTTACTTTCAATTTCATTTTATAATTTACCTACTAATGTTATTTATTGTCTGTCTCCCTCCACTCTAATGTAAATTCCATGAAGCAGGGCAGGGAATTTTCCCCCTAAGATTTTATTATGACAATTCTCAAGCATACAGAAATGTTGGAAGAATTTTACAATGAATTTAGTTAGATTTTACAGTTATTATTGTACTGTATTTGCTTTATTACATACTATTCATCCCTCTATTCAGCCATTAACCCATCTTATTTTTTATACTAGAGGCCTGGTGCACGAAATTCGTGCATGGATAGGGTTCCTAGGTCTGGCCAGCAATCAGGGCCAATCGGAGTCTTCCGGCTGCCAGTCAGGGCCTCCCTTCCCCAGCTGCCAGCTGCCAGCTGGGGCCTTTCTTCATTCCACGCTGCCCACTGGTGGTCAGTGCACATCATAGTGAGCCATCCGTCTCCTGGTCAAACTCCTGTGGGGACAATTTGCATATTAGGCTTTTATATAAAGAGATATTTTAAAGTTGCAGGCATCAATGTATTTCCCTTTAGTATGTCAGCATGTGTATCACTAACCAAAGTTAAATACTTGTTTCTCTTTTTTTCTCTGAGGTAAAATTTACATGGCTTTGACTAATGTATTCACAAATCTTTATGAAGATAAAGGTTTACCACGACCAAGAAAGTTCTCTTAATGTTTCTTTCTCACACGGTTGCCAAATACAGAATGCTCAGTTAAATTTGAATTTTAGTAAAACAATTAATATATTTTTAGCATAATGTCTCATATATTACATAGGACAGTGATGGCAAACCTTTTGAGCTCGGCGTGTCAGGATTTTGAAAAACCCTAACTTAACTCTGGTGCCGTATCACATATAGAAATTTTTTGATATTTGCAACCATAGTAAAACAAAGACTTATATTTTTGATATTTATTTTATATATTTAAATGCCATTTAACAAAGAAAAATCAACCAAAAAAATGAGTTCACGTGTCACCTCTGACACGCGTGTCAGAGGTCCGCCATCACTGACATAGGATATACTTATACTAAAAAACCTCTGTTCATCTGAAATTCAAACTCAACTGGAAATCCTGTATTTGATCTGGCAACCCTACTTTCCAGGAATTTCTTGCCCCAACTCCACAGAGGCAACCATTGTTCAATTTTTTTTCCCATCAGAAATCTTACGTGTTTTAGGACTTCCTAATGTATATTTTCTTCTGTGTGGCTTTTTTTTTTCACTCAGCATAGTATCTTTGAAATTCACATATCATTGCATGTATCATGAGTTTGTGCCTTTTTACTGTGGAATAGCATTCCATAATATAGGTGTAATACTGCTTGTTCATTTATTCTCCACCTTGGGCTTTTTCCAGTTTCTGTCTATTATGAAGGAGCTGTTACATACCAAAGCATTCTTAGAAACATGCAGTGGCTGCCATTGACACTAGTTCTAAGTAGAAGCTCCTTAAAATACCTCACAGGCACTATATAACTTAGCTTTTCTTACCTCTTCCTTGGTCTCACCTCTTGCCACTCTAATGTTCTTGCCCTTACTATTCTCCAGCCTTATTCCCTCCAAAACCCTGAAGCTTCCATGCCACGCCCCTGTTAGCCTTTTGCGTGCAATCCCTGCAGTTGGAGCACTGTTTCTTTCTACTGGTTACCTGGCACCTTTTGCTCATGTTCCTCTATTTATTACAGTGTTTCTCTAGGCACGGTTCTTAATATCTCCGGGCCTGTACTTATAACCCCTTTATGGCAACAGTGAACAATAGTTTCTTTTTTTCACGGGGTTATTTTGACAAATAAATAAATGAACATTTTAAAAACACTTACCATGGCACCACCATAAGTGCTCAATGTTTGAATTGGAAGCTTATGCTGTATGTATATTGCATGCTAAAGAACAGGGAATGATTGAAGGTAACAGCAGCAGAGGGGAAGATGAATGAAGGGGGCCAAGGCAGCCAGAGGGGAAAGACCAGATCAGAGTTTATATGCATAGTCCACAAAGTACACTCAGTGGGAGCTGAGTTAATGGCAGTAGGGATTGAAGACGGGAGACGGATTCAGAAGATCTAGAGACAGAACTGACAGAGTGAATGTCAATGGAAAGGAAAAGGTGGTGACGTAGATGTCTCTGAGATTTCTGGCTCAGGTGTCTCTAAGAATGTTGGTGCCAAGTAGTGAGGTTAAGGAATTCAGGAAGAGGTGATGGATTTGGTGAAAAATAAGTTTGATTTAAGACATGGTAAATTAAGGATGCTAACTGGACATTGATAGAAATGCCCAGCAGACCATCAAAAAGGAAAATATAATCAAAGGTATGGGTATTTTGGGTGATATTTGTACTTATTTTTTTATTGTTGACAATTTTACAGATGTTCCCCACCCCTTTTGCACTCCTCCCAGCCCCTGCCCCACGCCAGGAAGGCATGGATTTTGATTGATCAGGAATGAATTATTATATCTTTCTTCCTTTTCTACTTCCTCCTCCTCCTCTTCCTCCTCCTCCTCCCACTCCTCTTCTTCCTCTCTCTCCCTCCCTCCCTCCCTCCTTAACCATGTCCTTTAAAATGCCTTCGATCATGGTAAGAGAAGCATTTGAATGTACAATTCTTTTCCCTACGCTTTTTTATTTTTTTGCTTCACTACAGCCATCTCTGTTGGTCCCTATTATGAGTCAAAATAAGCCACAGAATATAGAATAACGTTGGAAAGAAAAAAAACATGGTAAAGAAGCAGACTGGAGAGGGCTCTGTTATCTGAAGAAAGCAAAGCCTGTCCAAGCACTGGGAGCACAGGGCTGGGCGCCCTCTGCTCGGCGGCTGGCCTGTCGGGAGTAGAGCATGAGCTGCACCGTCAGGACGTAACTGGCCTGCCTCGGCGCGTTCCCACGGAGAGGTCGCGGTGTTTCTGAACAGCATCGAGCAGCTTTGGGCTCAATTATTGGGAAACATGTTCTAATAATTAGAATGTCTGGATATCAGAACGGGCTCTTTTGTTGAGCTTGTTAATTTCAGTCGATGGAAGAAATAAAACAGAGGTTCCTTTCAGGACGGTGCCCACCTATGTAAAATTGGAAAAGGTACCGATCAAGAAAAGGTACTCTATCTAGTGGGCAACTTGCTAAAATGTTTCCTCCCTGTGGGTGTGTCCCCATGCCAGCTCCGTGGCTTCTGAGCAGAACGTGGCCCTTGTGGCCTCAGCTCTCCTCCTCAGATGGGAACCTTGTGCAGTGTCCTCTTGTTAGAAATGCTGTCTGTCCACCAGCTTCCTGAAGTAAGCGTGGACTGGGAGTTGATGCCCTCCAAGGTTTCTGAGTCTGTATTTCCAAATGCAGCCTGTAAATGAATCAGCATGTTAGGTGTGCCAGTCTCGACACAGATCATGTTCAAAGAAGCATAATGACACATTCAAAAGTAATGTGAGAAGGTAGAAAAGGGTAAAGGGGTCACCTGTATGGCGACAGAAGATGACTTGACTTTGGGTGTTGGCCACACAAGGCACTATCCAGATCATGTCTCATGGAAATGTGCACTTGAAGCCTATATAGTCTTATTAACCAATCTCGCCTCAATAAATCTAATAAAAAGGAATGTGATAAGAATATCAATCTTCACTGGTGTCTCTCAAAAACCATTAAATATGATCCAATTTATAAACAGAATAATATTTTTTTAAGATTTTTAAAAATGGATTTTAGAGAAAGAGGAAGGGGGGAGAGAGAGAGAGAGATAGAGAGAGAGAGAGGAAAATGTAATCCCCATGTGAGAGTGAAACATCCATTAGCTGCCTCCTGCATGCCTCCCCCCACCCCCCTTCAACCGGGAATTGGTCCCACAGTCTGGGCATGTTCCCTGTCCAGGAATCAAGCCAGCAACACTTCGGTGCATGGGATGACACCCAAGCAACAGAGCCCCACTGGCCAGGGCTGAAAAATATTTCTTTAAAGACTCTTTCCTCATTTGAGCCTGGCGCAGTTATCTCATACTTCATAATTGCTCCAGAAGCTTTTACATGCTAACCTCTAAAACTCTATAAAACCCCAGCCCAGGAGGTTTCTCTCTCTGTTTTGTCTCCTCCCTTTCTCTTGCATTCACTATCTAGTTTCTCCTCTTTCCATTATCCACATTCTCTAATAGTAGCAAAAGGAATTGTGTTGAAAAGAGAAAGACCTTTCCATACATGGTGATTGAATGGGGAGGAGTCCTTACTTTCCCCGTTACTACCTCTAACTGTTTTTCTCTCTCCACCTAGTCTCCTGTTCCTCTAACAGCACAGCCTGGAGCCAGGCTGAAAGAGACTAAATAACTCTTGGGTACTTTCAGGAGTAGGGACATTCATGTGTTAATTCTTCTTGAGTGGGTCCTACGTCTGCAGAACCTTCTTTTAGGTCCTAGAAAAGTGGCAAAGCGAGTTATGTGAATAATCTCTCCTCGCAAGGAATTTACAATCTCACCAGCGTGACTGGCTAAAATCACATGAAGTAGATTTCAAGGAAGAAAACCGACAGACAGTGAGAAGGAGCGCAGCCGTACACCCACGAATAGCTTAAGGGCTACCTGGATGTTGGGTTTGCAGCAAGAAGAGAACTGTGGGGAAACCAGAAGTTTCATGGAAGAGGTAAGGATTGGATAAATGTTTCGCACAAGGAGAAATACCAGGGAGCTAGGGAAATTGCTGTAGCGTTATGCTGGAGGGCCAGAATGCAGCAGAGGGCGAGTCTAATTATCTGCTGGAACAGAGGGTCTATGTGGTGTGCGAAGGCTTTTTCTCAGTGGGACCGTAATTGTCCCTCCTCTGAGCTTCCATAGCTTTACTGTGTGACTTGATTATTTATTTATCCCATTCTCCCTTGAGTGAGTTATACATTTTCCTATTTCCTTAATTAAATAGCTCCTAGACAGTAAAGACAATATATATCCCCTCTTTCAGATAACTTCACACAGAGTCTAACAGTATGTGGTTTTCAATCAATAATTACTGGGTTAAATAGAGTTGATGGGAAGCTAATCAGAGGGGTATAGGGGAGGGGAGAGAGGTCTCATGCTTGTGCTAATGAGTTTAAGTTTGACATTGAACACTGAATGATCAAACATGTTAGAGTTGTAATCAAAATAATATTTGAGAAAGAGGAATTTTTCTTTACTTTCACATGGTAGGTCAAAGATAAGTTTGTGGTTTTTTTTTATTATTTATATAGGTGTTACCTAGACATTTGGGAACAGATTTCTCATATAGATGATACATAGTATTGAACTTTAATCTAAATTTAGCCAATGAAACTTTTGCATACATATTCTGTAGTCTTTTTGAATTTTATGGGCTAGGTCAAAGATTCTTTGATCATCTTATGGGTGTGAATAAATTTTTGGTATTGCTGATTATAAGTAGGAGTGATACCATGCTCTGGAGAAGGATTTTGGCATGCTTTAAATAATGGTTAAGTACATGAAATTGCAAAAAAAATAAACCCCACAAAACCCCAAAAAACAAACCGTGGAAATGGAATTCCAGATTTACACTTAAAAGATTTTTAGGAAAGATTTATTCAAAATTTTTAGGAGTCTTTTGATTGAGAAACTACAAAAGTATTTTATCAAGTTAATTTCTGCGCCCTCCTGGTCTTAGTACGTTTTAGCACAATTGCTGGCACTGTTTAGGTACTTCAATACAGATTCCTTTTCAGTTCTAATAATCCTGCTTACATCGATTCTTTGTTACTAACATGGAACATAGAGTTTAAAAAATGAATTTAAATTACTACATTTAAATGAATTGTTGCTGTTGATCAGTGACTTCAGTCAAGCTTTCAAATCTTCTTATTTTGTCAGCATAGATTTGAATTTATGACCTAGATATGTTTTGAAAAAAATCTTTATTGTGAATTTGGATTATAAAAATAATATATACTCAATATACTCAATAATATATACTCAATATAGCTTCTGAAATTATTTGCTTATATAGTGAATGAAGTATACTAGTATAATACAAATGTAAGTATTGCTGTTAGTGAATGAATGAATATTTTTAGTCTCCCAGGAACTAAAAATGATAAGGACATTACCTCTTATGTTTCTGAATTTTGTAGAGCTGAAAACATATACTAGTACTTCCCAAAGAGGTAAGTCAAAATTATCTGATTTTATTTTGCAGGACTGAGCCCTCTGGAAGTTTTATCTTTTTGCATAGCTTATAGGGAGGGATCAGCTAGCTGAATGCTTTCTGTTTTCGTTAGCGTGACCCAGCCTACTTCCAACACATACCCAGAACTACATTAATCATGGGATTAGAGCCAAACATTTAAGACTGCAGAGCATATACAAGAATTTACTGGTGAGAGAGCTCTAGATCAACTTTACACTAAACTCATTTCTTTTCCAAGATTGGAAAAATATTATCCTAACGGGAACCATTTCCCCATCTCATTCAGATAAGGTTTCAAGGTTTTAATCTTTATTTTTTATCTAGAATGATTAGCTGCACCATAATAATACATACAGCCCAGCCGCATATATTTAAGTGCACCTGTTAATCTCTCTACCTGCCTCTCTCTTATTGGTTTATATTTTGGATAGCTTTGACATTGAAAACCACAAAAGAATTGGAGCCTTGCATTGAAAGGAGTTGTGCTGCAGCAGTTTTTTTCTTGTCTGAAGTTTACTTCTGCAAGAGAACATCTGAAAAATGACAGGGGCAAAGAGGAAAAAGAAAAGTGTGCTCTGGAGCAAGGTGAAGGCTCTCCACTGTGAAGGCTTTAAACAGTGGTGTAGAAGGCGGCTACCGATTTTGGAATGGGCATTACATTACAATCTGAAAGAAAACTTGCTTCCAGATACTGTGTCTGGGATCATGTTGGCAGTTCAACAGGTGACACAAGGTAATGTGTTGCATTTGATTTTCCTGTTTTACGCAGAATAGTGGTCACTTTGTTTTAGTGGAAGAGTATTATGACCTCAGTTTTACAATTTAGCTTATGCAATGAATTTTTAATTAATTTGAGGAAAATAAACACATTGAATACTTAATACTGAATATCTGTATAAATATATAGAGAATCCTGTATGCCCTTAGAGATTATTTTGTGCTGGGGCTGACCAGCAGACTCTGAGCAATGGATGAATGATTACTCTGACACATGATTGCTGTGAAAGAGATGGCTAAGGGACTGTCTGGCTATAGGAACCAGACAGCCTCGTTTGCCTGCCTCTTCAGGTTTTTATGGTAACAGCACTTTGAGCTAAAGTTTAACTTTTAGATAAAATCAGGATAAGCATTCTTGGGAGGACACATGCGTCTGCAGTGGCCTTTCAGCAAGGATGTCTAAAGATTAAGCATAAAGATTCCGGTAAATACCCGAGGGTCCGCACACACACAGACTTGTTTGGAAAGGTTAAGGAACAATTAGGGGTGGCCACCTTCAGCCAACTCACCTAGGTTGTAATTTTCTCTTACAAACTTTCCAACTAAGTCTCCCGTGCTCTCCCACAATATTGATTGTACATGCCAATTTAATTCTGTATCACATTGTTATAGAACACCAGAAAGATGTTATCAGACAGCCCCCTGGGTCAGACGGGACTCTTGTCAATCTTGCAGGAAAGATTTCAAATGAGTGACACTGGACAGCAATGTTGTAGCAAGCAAATTTATTAAGGAAGCAAAGCAAGCAAATTTGTTAAAATTATACTTGGCATGAAACATAAGTGGGCACCCAGCTAATCTGAGTCCATGTCTGGTGGGGGTTCAAGGGATTTTTATAACCTTCAGTCTACAGATTTCAGGGTTCCTCTGCTGGATATCTTGGTCACAGACTAGATTTCAAGGTCCCCTTTTTACTTTGTGGTAGCTTTCCCAGAATTTATGAGATCACCTGGTAAGTCCCAAGACTGCTTACCTCTTTGTTCAGTGAGTGAGATAAAATGCCCCTTTTTTCCTTCTCCCCCCTCCCCCCGACACCCTGTTTGTATGCATGCCTGATCATCTTGTTTGGCAAGTTCCAAGATTTCTTTGTCCAGTGGTGAAATAAAACTCCCCATCTTTCCCCCTCCCCACTCCTGCCTTAGCAGTTCCAGGGTGATTTAAGCTATGTATTGTCTGGTTAGGGAGGAGAGGTATTAGCTATTTGCTCTCAAGTGTCCTTGGTTGGGGAAGATAAGGTCTTGTGATTCACAAGCTGGCTGCAAGCTGCCCAAACTGGCCTTGTTTAATTTTCTCATCTCAGTTTCCCTATTCCACTTGCCCAAGAATTTTCCTCGCTTCTTACTATCCTGTCACAACATTATGCACTGTATTTATTTCTCAATAAGAAATTTAAACTGGTGAGAAGTCTTATTTTAATTTTCCCAAGGCAATGATTCTAAATGACCTTCTGGATTTAGATAGGTGTTTCTCTTGGTGAAAGTTTTTAGTTAGCTAGTGTGTGTGTGTGTTCCTTAAAGGTATACTCATTGTATTTCTTTAACTAATTCAGATAATAATTTACTAACTGTAGCAAGGAGAGGAACTAACTTTTCAGCCTTGAGAATCTGGAACACTCCTCAGCACAGACTTTGTAGATTTATATTTCCTTGCAGTTTCACTACCTCCCTGCCTTGAACTATTATCCCTACCATTACATTATATGCACTCGTTTAATTGAATTATTTAGTAGTTGAGACAAACTTGTTTGTGTATTTGTGTTTTTAATGTGATTAGAAACTGGTGCTTTAAGATCCATAATACCATATTTTATGGGATTACATTTTTCTGAATAGTCTTATATTACATTTTTAATGACAATTTTGTCAACAGCAAAACATAGTAATATTCCATAAAAGTTCAAAATAAAGTTAGATTATTTCCAGTCTTCATTTTAGTCAGTTTTATTCAAAGGAGACACTATCATGTACTTTGAAACTTAGGTGATTAATTTACAAGGGCTTTTTCATAGTTTCAGTATATGTTATAAATTTATTTTGCTTTAACTTAATGTGAAATGAAAGACATATTTAAAACCAATTTGTTTTTTCACTTTTGTAAAATATAAGGTTAATAAAGAAATTTGGGGATATAATAAAATACCTGTGGTATGTCATTAGTGATAGCATTTATGTGTAAGTCATTAGTAGTTAATTGTATGGCTTCTATAGAGTTTGAGAAATTTTATGATTTATGTATTTAATTAGTTATGAGGAAAAACTGGCCAGCTCCCAACTGATGAAAAGCACAAAGTTTATTCAGTCCTTGTGTCTCCTAAAGTTATGGATCTGGCTACTGTTTCTCTTGGAAGTCTACCAGTGATTGGACAAGTCTACACCACTAGAAAGAACTTAAATGTTTTTGTTGGTGCAAAGAAGGACACATTCTTCTAAAATTACCTCTTCTTTTAAAAACAATCTTTTCAAAGTTGCTCATGCGTACCCACTATGGAGATAAGAAAAGTGAAATATCATGACATTGCTGTAAGGAGTATTGTACTAAGCTCCGTATATACATTATCTTCCCCTACCCTAACAAAATCCCAAGAGATTGTGGTCTCTTCTCCATTTTCCACATATGAAAATGGAGCCTTAGAAAATTAAATAATTTTTCCTGGTCCTCATGTCTAATAAGTGATAGAGCTAGGACTAAATTACAAAGTCAACACTTTATAGTTTATATTTTATACTCTGTAATTCCAAAATAACTAGACATTTACAATACCAATCTATAATAATAAAAGCATAATATGCTAATTAGACCGGACATCCTTCTGGACGAAGCCAGAGCTATGAGGGAAGTCTGGGTCCTGGGTGCCTGCTGGTGGCCCGAGGGAAGCCCAGGTCCCAGGTGCCAGAGGGAAGCTGGTGCCTGCAGCCAGGGGAAGGCAAGCCTACTCTTGCACGAATTTCATGCATCGGGCCTCTAGTGTTATTAATAATAGAAGACATTTCTTTAGGAAGGTTCAAATATTCTCCTCTTCAAATTACTTTTCCATGTAGCTATCATCCCTGCACCTTTTAGACTCAAAAGGTGAAGATACAAGGAAAATACTACAACAAAATATAAAGTAAAGACGGCATTTATATATTATTACCTTTCATTTGTGTGAATACAATATTGGCAATCATAGGCTCCTTTTCTTCAAGAACTTAGAAGAAAGAAGGGGTAATGTTTTGTTCTTGCCTCATAACAAACAATAGAAACGAATACCTATTTTCACTCTACTGAATGTATTTTGAAGATGAGCAAACATTCTAGAGAAGGTCCTTGACTTAAAACATGCCGCCAACATGGATGGCAAGCTAAGCAGTATACGACTCTGGTCTAGAGAGTATTTAGTTCACATTCTAGCCAGGGTGACCACTTGGGGGGAAATAGTTTCTGTGTTTCTAATCTGAAAACTCAAGCATTGAGACAGAGTGGAGGCCTACAATGCATGACTTGCCATATAAGAAACTAATCTGCTGAAACTGGTTTGGCTCAGTGGATAGAGCGACGGCCTGCAGACTGAAGGGTCCCAGGTTCAATTCCGGTCAAGGGCATGTACCTGGGTTGCGGGCACATCCCCAGTGGGAGATGTGCAGGAGGCAGTTGATCGATGTTTCTCTCTCATCGATGTTTCTAACTCTCTATCTCTCTCCCTTCCTCTCTGTAAAAAATCAATAAAATATATATTTACCAAAACAAAATTAAAAAAAAGAAAAAACGAACCTAATCCACTGAGGAGCAATATGAGGATGTGTAAGCTTGTAATTCTAAGGGATCACTAGAATTCTGTTCCTACACCATGAAAATTTTATGCTGCCGTAGAAGGGAAAAGATGGATGTTCTTATAATTCTGCCGAATGTGTGGCATTACTGGCACAGAAACATATGTGTGGAAGTGGAGCTTCATTGCACTCCTGAGGGCAGCTTAATGACATGGTGAACAACAAGTGGGAATTCCTGAAGCATACTAGATTGTAAAAGTTAAAGGGTTTTCTTTATACATTTTGGATATTAACCCTTTCTCAGATATGTCATTGGCAAATATCTTCTCCCATTTGGTAGGATGTGTTTTTGTTTTGTTGATGGTTTCCTTCACTGTGCAAACTTTAGATTGATGTGGTCCCATGGGTTTATTTTTTTTCTTCTGTTTTCCTTGCCCAAGGAGACACATAAAAAATATATATCAGTAAAAGCAATGTCAAAAAATTTACTGCCTATTTTTTTCTAGGAGTTTTATGGTTTCAAGTCTTACATTTACATTTTTAATTTATTTTGAATGTATTTTTGTATATGATTTAAGACAGTGGTCTAGTTTCATTTTTGTATGTAACTGTATAGTTTTCACAGCACCATTTATTGAAGAGACTATCTTTACCACATTGTATATACTTATCTCCTCTGTTATCGATTGGTTGATCATTTAGGCATGGGGTTTTTCTGCGCTTTCTACTCTATTTCATTGACGTATGTGTCTGTTTTTATGCCAGCACCATGCTGTTTTCAATACTATTGCCTTGTAGTATAGTTTGATATCAAGTAGCATAATACCTCCAACTTTGTTCTTCTTTCTCATGATTGCTTTGGCTATTGGGGGTCTTTTGTGATTCCATATAAATTTTAGGACTATTTATTCTAATTCTGTGAAAAATGCATTGGTACTTTAATAGCAATTGCACTGAATCTAGATTGCTTTGGGTAATATACATATTTTAACTATGTTTATTCTTCGTATCCACGAGCATGGTATATGTTTCCTTTTATTTGTATCTTTTTTAATTTCTTTCTTCAATGTTGTATAGTTTTCCAAGTGCAGGCCTTCCACCACCTTGGAATAAATAATAAAATACATAATAAATACCTATGAATACACACCCATTTATTCACAATACCTGTGATTTAATTGTAAATGGGATTATTTACTTAATTTCTCTTTCTGACACTTTCCTCAAAGAAAATACAGTGCCTTCCAGCACCCTCGATAGAGTTTTCCTAACCCATGACCCTCTAGCTCTTGCCCTGAAGTTAGTCATTTTAGTTTCTTTCTGTCTGTCCTGGAGCCATTCGTGCTGCTACCCCTATGCTAAAGTTTAGAGCAGTGGTTCTCAACCTTCTGGCCCTTTAAATACAGTTCCTCATGTTGTGACCCAACCCTAAAATTATTTTCGTTGCTACTTCATAACTGTAATGTTGCTACTGTTATGAATCATAATGTAAATATCTGGTATGCAGGATGGTCTTAGGCGACCCCTGTGAAAGGGTCATTGGACTGCCAAAGGGGTCACGACCCACGGTGAGAACCGCTGGTTTACAGTGATTGAGTTTTTGAGCAAGTCAGTATGTTCATGGTCCCTTTAAAACCTGCAGTGCCTTCATCTATGGGAGCCCTTTGTATTTGACTGACGTCCACTGGTTTTTACAGCCAGATGTTATGGGGAGTCCTCTTCCTGGCATTGATGCCCCAGATTGGGGAGCCTGATGTGGGACGGGGACCCCACATTTCTCAGGGAGGACCCCTGCATCTGTGATACACTCTCAGTCCTTATTTTCCACACGAGGGATGTAGGACCTGCCTATTCTGCCTCTCCCCCAATCTTGAGGTCCTGATGTTGCTTTTTTTATATCCTTAATTATAGGAATTCCTTTCCGCTAGTCTTCAGCTAGTTCTCAATGAGAATTGTTCTATAATTTAGTTGTAATTTTGATATGGTCGTTGGAGGAGGTGAGCATAGAGTTTACCTATTTCGTCCAAAAGCTATTCCTCAAGGCTGTTTCACAAACAGGATTGACAAGTGAGGGCAGTGAATTCTACGGGAATAGATTTTCCATTGAGTTGTGTGAGCTGTCGTTTTCTGGGTAGTAACTGAAGCTCCATAACCATAGACTACAGTCTATAAAATATTATTGTTCTTGTATTTATGCCTGAGGGGAGTGAAACCACTGCCTGCCTCTAAGTCTGCCTCCTCTCTTTATAGTGAGGTTAGTAAGACAGGAAAGTATGAAGTCTTCAGCGCAGTGGCTCTCTCTCTATAATTCTGCACGATTCTCAAGTTCTAGAAACAATCTTGCAGCTCCAATGTCCTTTGATTTTCAGAATAAATTGCTATTGTGTAAATCCAGACAAAACTGTCCTGAAAGTAAAATATTTGTATCTTAAATATGAAACATCATCTTCTCTGTGATAAACAATTCTCTTTCTCATCAGTAGCGACAGTGTCACTCTAGCTGTCTCAGCCAAGAGATTATAGCAGCAGCGGAGGCAGAGTCTGAGCTACCTACCTGCTTTCATTTTCCTTCTTGGTCAGGGGTCAGATCCTATGTCGACGGAAGCCATTCTCACTGCAGCCTCGGTCTGAGGAGTAGGGGGTGTTTGCGGTTAATGTCCAACTTCACACTCAGAGCCCCTTGGGAATTTGGCAGTGTTCACAAGCCCTGGAACTACTGATGAGATCTATGTGGGAATATAGAGTCTCTTCTATTCCTCTACTATATTAACCGTTATTGCACCTACAAAACATTTTTTCCCAAATATTGCATCTTTTAAAGTCTTCCAGTAGTCATAACAAACTTGCATTACCAATACATGATTTTTTATCTTTAAAAATAATGAGCCATTAAAGATCTTAAGTTTTTTTATTTCTCCCTCCAATCTCTCTCTCTCCTTTTTGGACATCCTTTAACCTAAAACTCATTTTTTATTTCATTCCTTTATACTTTTGTTTATTGTGTTGCTTTTGCTCTTACCTAAGTTAGATGAGGTAATACAAATATCCATCAGCATTTGTAGCAATTTTACCCCAAATTAAGATAGAGTTTTAATTCTGCTCTTATTGAATTGAACACCCTATTTATTAAACATGAGGAGAGTATATATAGACTTGAATGGATTTATCAGGACCTTAACTAGCTGTTTAATGCCAAGGACCAGTCACAAACAAGATCACGTTTATTTTGGTCACCTTTAAACCACTAGTAGTCATTTTGACACACTAGGACATTTTTTGATGTGTATGTGACATACAAAGTATGTAGACAGTAGAATCTATTAGGAATAAAAATGAGTAGTTATGAATTACTTCTTACTTTTTGAATAATCAAAGTTGATTCTTTTTTCACTCTAAGAAGTCGTACCTAAATGACTATATTTATGTAGTCCAGGTATGGGAACTGCATGCCCAGCCTCTGAGATACACAATCTTAGGCCAGCCAGTCAGCCAGCCAATGAGGCCACTTTGAATGTGTGCTCTCAGCCTTAGTAACCTTTCATGTCAGGCTTCTCATCTGTCAGTGGTAAAGCTGTAAATCCTGCCTCTCTCACAGATGTTATTAGGCAATAAGATTGTACATGTGAGCCCTAGCTAGTTTTGCTCAGTGGATAGAGCATTGGCCTGAGGACCAAAGGGTTCAATTCTGGTCAAGGGCATGCATTTTGGTTGTAGGTTCTGTCCAGCCTTAGTAACCTTTCATGTCAGGCTTCTCATCTGTCAGTGGTAAAGCTGTAAATCCTGCCTCTCTCACAGATGTTATTAGGCAATAAGATTGTACATGTGAGCCCTAGCTAGTTTTGCTCAGTGGATAGAGCATTGGCCTGAGGACCAAAGGGTTCAATTCTGGTCAAGGGCATGCACTTTGGTTGTAGGTTCTGTCCAGGCCCAGGCCCTGGTGGGGGCTCATGCAGGAGACAACAATCGATGTGTTTCGCTCACATCCATTTCTCCCTGTCTTTCCCTCTCTCTTCTGTTCTCCCTAAAAAAATCAATGGAAAAATATCCTCAGGTGAGGATTAACAAAACAAAAACTTAAAAAAAAAAATACATGAAAATGCTTTGCTAAGTGTGTGAAGGTTTTTCGCTGTGATGATAACACTTATACAAGAAGACACTCTGC